TTGTAACACCCGTGTTTGGAATTCATCCCTGCAGCTGCAGCAATGGGACCAGGGGTGCACACCAACCTAGAGTCAATCTGTTATTGACTGGCCAGCGATGTATATGATTATCTCCCTTGAGAGTCTGAGACTGTAGAATGCCCTTGTACAGAAAGGCCATGAGGAATCAGGGTGGGATAGCTGTCGTCAGCCACGTAAATGCTGATGAGTAAGTAGAGAGCTGGTTTGCAAAAATAAGTAGTGATGAGAATTCATGGGGGCAGGTGAAAAAGAGAGGGGACAGAAAAGAAAGAAAGAATAAGAGAAAAAAAAGGATGAGATATTCAGAGTGAACAGGCAACCTACAGAATGGGAGAAAATTTTTGCAATCTACTCATCTGACAAAGGGCTAATATCCAGAACCTACAAAGAACTCAAACAAATTTACAAGAAAAAAACAAACAACCCCATCAAAAAGTGGGCAAAGGATATGAACAGACATTTCTCGAAAGAAGACATTCATACAGCCAACAGACACATGAAAAAATGCTCATCATCACTGGCCATCAGAGAAATGCAAATCAAAACCACAATGAGATACCATCTCACACCAGTTAGAATGGCGATCATTAAAAAGTCAGGAAACAACAGGTGCTGGAGAGGATGTGGAGAAATAGGAACACTTTTACACTGTTGGTGGGATTGTAAACTAGTTCAACCATTATGGAAAACAGTATGGCGATTCCTCAAGGATCTAGAACTAGATGTACCATATGACCCAGCCATCCCATTACTGGGTATATACCCAAAGGATTATAAATTATGCTGCTATAAAGACACATGCACACGTATGTTTATTGCAGCACTATTCACAATAGCAAAGACTTGGAATCAACCCAAATGTCCATCAGTGACATATTGGATTAAGAAAATGTGGCACATATACACCATGGAATACTATGCAGCCATCAAAAAGGATGAGTTTGTGTCCTTTGTAGGGACATGGATGCAGCTGGAAACCATCATTCTTAGCAAACTATCACAAGAACAGAAAACCAAACACCGCATGTTCTCACTCATAGGTGGGAACTGAACAATGAGATCACTTGGACTCAGGAAGGGGAACATCACACACAGGGGCCTGTCATGGGGAGCGGGGGAGGGGGGAGGGATTGTATTGGGAGTTATACCTGATGTAAATGACGAGTTGATGGGTGCAGCACACCAACATGGCACAAGTATACATATGTAACAAACCTGCACGTTATGCACATGTACCCTACAACTTAAAGTATAATAATAATAAATAAATTAAAAAAAAAAAAGAAAAAAAAAAAGGATGAGATAGCGCTAGTACTAGCTCTGTTCATTAGCTTTCTAGTCCCCAGTTCTTAATATTTAATTTAATTTTCTTTTTGTAATTTTGTTTTTGGTCAAGAGTGATGGTAGGATGGGAATGAACAGAAAAGGAACTTAATCTTCACTTTTAAGGGTCCCTGAAAAGATCACTGTTGGATATAGGTTTTATTGTAGGTTTGAGTTTTTCTCATTAATGAATACTTCAAAACAGTGAGAGTTTCAGAGGTTATTTCTCTAAAGTTAGTTTTGTTATATTGTTTGTTCATTAAGAGGAATAGCATCACTGTGAGACAGAGCTCCCATAGGCCTCAGAAGGCCAAGGCAGATACTTCTTTATTTCAGATGAATTAGAGAGGAACAAACTTAAGGCAGGAGGAGGCACTGGAAAACACAGGCTCTGGGTTTTTCCAATCCCTGCTCAGCCACTCTCATCGTGACCACAGATTCATCCCTTCACCTCTCTGGATCTCTGCTTCCTCTGCTACACTACGTGGTGGTCATAGTTATATATTTATATCTGGTCACAGATATTTTATAATCATAGACCTTAGATTATAAATATAATCATAGATTATAAAATATCGAATGAAGGTCTTATCCAAAAACATATTCACATAAAACTTTCATCTCACTCTGAAGGAGAAAAAGTGTGCACTGGGTAAAGACTCTATTGCCTAAGATCTGACACTTAAATTTGCAGTAATTTCTAATACTTAATCACATGTACTTTTCTTCCCGATTGTGCAAAAAAGGACGGGAAGTAAAAAGGGGAACATTCTTTATGTTTAAATTAAGTCGGACTGGCACAGTGGCTCAAGCCTGTATTCCCAACACTTTGGGAGGCAGAGGTGGGTGGATCACCTAAGGTCAGGAGATTGAGACCAGCCTGACCAACAGGGTGAAACCCCGTCTCTACTAAAAATACAAAAATTAGCCGGGTGTGGTTGCGTGTGCCTGTAGCCCCAGCTACTCGGGAGCCTGAGGCAGGAGACTTGCTTGCACCTGGGAGGTGGAGGTTGCAGTGAGCGGAGATCACGCCATTACACTCCAACCTGGGTGACAGAGCCAGACTCCATCTCAAAAAAAAAAAAAAAAAAAAAAGTCAAAGGCTCATTTAGGATACAAACTAGATGTGAATAAGTATGGGAAATTTAAATGATAACCAAATTTGAACCTGAAGTGATAAGCATTTGATGTCCTACTGAGATGTCAAAATACTGTTTCTCAGAGAAACTGACTTACCTTTCTTTTCTATTACATAGGCAATGCATGTGTATTGCAGTAAAATTTGATCCAAGTATAGCAAATGTTAATATTTAGTGTATATATTTTTAAATATATTCTGACAAACCCTATGCTATTTGCTTAGAACAGATCTGATTTTTCATATGCAATGCTTATGTCCTCAATGAGGCTATAAACTCCATGAGGAGAACCCCTTTACCATAAATCCACATGCCTCCCACCCCCACAGTTCGGTCACTTTCTTTGGGAAGGGATGGGGGAAAGTTTATAAATGCTTCCTTCAGTAACACCCATGCATTCATTCATTCATTCATTTGACAAACTTTGTATTGAGCACCTAGTATGGACTTGGGCCAGGTGCAGGGGATTCAAAGGTACATCCCTCCCCCCAGTTTTCCTCACCCCTGTTTTTTTTTTTTGTTTGTTTTGTTTTGTTTTGTTTGAGATGGAGTCTTGCTCTGTAGCCCAGGCTGGAGTGCAGTGGCATGATCTCGGCTCCCTGCAACCTCCGCCTCCTGGGTTCAAGCTATTCTCCTGCCTCAGCCTTCCGAGTAGATGGGACTACAGGCGCCCGCCACCACGCCTGGCTAATTTTTGTATTTTTAGTAGAGATGGGGTTTCACCATATTGGCCAGGTTGGTTTCGAACTCTTGACCTTGTGATCCGCCTGCCTCGGCCTCCCAAAGTGCTGGGATTACAGGCGTGAGCCACCGTGCCCGGCCCCTAACCTGATTTTTTTTTTTTTTTTTTTTTTTTGAGACAGAGTCTCCCTCTGTCACCCAGGCTGGAGTGCAGCGGCGCCATTTTGACTCACTGCAACCTCCACCTCTGGGTTCAAGCAATTCTCCTGCCTCAGTCTCCCGGAGTAGCTGGGACTACAGGCGCGCGCCACCATGCCCGGCTGATTTTTGTATTTTTGGTAGAGACGGGGTTTCACCAGATGGGGTTTCACCATGTTGGGCAGGATGGTCTCGGTCTCCTGACCTCGTGATCCTACCGCCTTGGCCTCCCAAAGTGCTGGGATTACAGCCGTGAGCCACCACGCCCGGCCCTACATCCCCTTTATGACACACCTTTTAGGCCAGGTGCGGTGGCTCACGCCTGTAATTCCAGCACTTTGGGAGGCCGAGGCGGGCGGATCACCTGAGATCAGAAGTTCAAGACCAGCCTGGACAACATGGTGAAACCCCGTCGCTACTAAAAATACAAAAATTAGCCAGGCGTGGTGGCGGGCGCCTGTAGTTTATCTACTCGGAAGGCTGAGGCAGGAGAATCACTTGAACCAGGGAGGTGGAGGTTGCAGTGAGCCGAGATGGCGCCACTACACTCCAGCCTGGGCGACAAGAGCAAAAACTCCGTTAAAAAAAAAAAAAAAAAAGACATACCTTTTTGATCTCAGGAAAGTCACAGTTCAAATAGGGAAACAATACACAATTAACTATTTTACTATGTACTTGTGCAATTTTAGAGTCATATGTGAAAGCCTTAAGAAAACACAGAAGAAGCCTGGGTGCGGTGGCTCCTGCCTGTAATCCCAGCACTTTGAGAGGCTGAGGCAGGATGATCGCTTGGGCCCAGGAGTTCAAGACCAGCCTGGGCGACATAGCAAGACCCCATTTCTACGAAAGTAAAAAAAAGAAACAAAAAAACAGGTGGGCATGGTGGTGCTTACTTACAGTTCTAGATACTCAGGAGGGAGGCTGAGGCAGGAGGATCGCTTGAGCCCAGGAAGACAAGGTTGCAAGGTTGCAGTGAGTTATGATTGTGCCACCGCAGCCTGAGTGACATAATGAGACCCTGTGAATGAATGAAAGAAAGAAAGAAAGAAAGAAAGAAAGAAAGAAAGAAAGAAAGAAAGAAAGAAAGAGCGAGCACAGAAGAGGATTGTGAGGTTATGGGGTACAATTCTTGAGGGGGTGACCCTGGCCAGGCGATGAGAGGGCGGTAGGAAGGGTGATGAGGGGAGAAGAGGATTTAGTAATACAAATTTCAGGGTCTTCTTGTGTCAGCGGGAATTTCTGTTCCCTCACAACTTTCCTCACACGATAAACTAATGTTCAACTGGAGACCTCTCCCGCGCCTTGAATTTGCAAATTTATGAATCAGAGGCAAAAAAACCCGAATGCCGAGCTCGGCCTCCCACCAGCTAGAGAGCCCACCAAGTCCCAGGAGGGGCGGGGCCGAGGGCGGGCCGGGTCAGGCTGTGGGCGGGGTTGCCCGTGCTTGCGCCAGAGCCGGCCCGCCCCGCCGCTAGGGGCTGTCGCAGGAGCCAGGCGTGGATTGGTGTGTGAGTACGTAGGCCTCTCTTCATAGGCCGCGCAGGATTGCTCGAGAGACTTTGATTGGCTCAACAGGCGTTGAGCGTTAATTGGTTGCGCTGGGTCGTCAGGGCGACGAAAAAGGGGAAGGGGTGCTGGGCCTGGCGGGCAAACTAAGGCTGCGGACTCTTGGGCGGTTCCGCGGGGCGTAGTCCGGAGAGCTGCGGGGCCGGGGTGCCCAGGGTTCACGCCACACTCTAGGAGGTGCCTGAGCGAGTGAGCTGGCCAGCGAACTCCGCGGGCTGGGACCATGGGCTGCTTCTTCTCCAAGAGACGGAAGGCTGACAAGGAGTCGCGGCCCGAGAACGAGGAGGAGCGGCCAAAGCAGTACAGCTGGGATCAGCGCGAGAAGGTAATGAAAGTCGTGTAGCCGCTGTCTCAGCCTCCCTGAGCCGCACCGCCGGGGTCTCTTACGACCCGGGACCGCTGAGTGGGCCGACCCAACAGCTGCCGCACTGTCTTGAACGCGAATAGCTGAAGTCGGGGTGCACGACTTTTTTGGGGGAGCGGGGGCGTGAAGTACAGCGCTAGAGAGGGCGCCCAGAGGGCTGTGGAGCTCCGGAAGGAGCCTTAGGAGTTTGTTGTCCTGGTAGACAGACTCCCCCGGGAGCTTTCTCTGGCTCCGAACCCTGCCTTGCTCTGACTTCCTGTCGGAGATGATCGATTCGAGAGAGGGAAAGAACCGAGAACGCCCTGAATCTCAAATCACCTCGTTTCACCCACCGGCAGCGTCAAGCGGGGTTTTGTCCAGTCGTCGAGTTACGTGTATGGGACTGATTCTCATCTCTTCCGGGGCTTAATGTTCTGTGGCTCTTTTCTCTTTTGTCTGCCCTCCCCGGCAAATCTCTTTGGTGCCTCATGATATATTTCACTGCTGAATTTTCTCAATTACCAAGTGGACTGTTTAATGTACAGCTTTACTGTCCCTCCTCTTCCAGTTATCCGAAAGAAATAATGAATATCGCATCAGTCTTGGAATGTGTATTAAGACTGTAAGGTGAAAATAAGCGGCATAAACCGGGCAGTATTTTACTGCTGGTTTAAATGAATGAAAACTCCCTTATTTTTATTTTTGTATATAGCCAGAAACCAAAAAACTTTGAAAACCTCCATTAGTCTTACACAAAACACACTCGGTCATACATTTCATAATAGTTCCTCTTTCTACATAGTTCTCTATTTGTGCTTACTGAACTACTTTGATGGACTTATCAATTATTTCTCCCAAACAAAATGAGAGATTTTTCAAATGAGTATTATAAACAGTTAACTCCTTGCTTAAGGCAACATGTCTTTACCCAAGAATACTTTATAATAAGTGTATTAACGTTTTGGAATCACAGACCTTTCTGCGTGATTTCCAAACCCCAGCAGAACGTATTCAGGTAAGCGCTGGTCTCTAAGAGTCAGAGTTAAGAAATTAAAAGCTTTTTTGCAGCTTTTCTTAGCCCCGTGTTTCTGCCCCTACTTCTCATACACACCCTTCTTGGGTCACATGGTACATTTATTCTCTCTTAGTCATACTCGATAGTAGCATTTTATAATGTAGGGGAAGAATGTACTATGCTTTCTATTTCACAAGAAGATTGCACCTGCCATTTAAAGTTATTTGATGGGCGATTTTTGAAAGATAACATTTTCCTCAGCCTTTGGATTTCTAACAATGTTCTCTTAGCTTGAACTGTCTGCCATAGAGAAGGTTGTGTATTTCATTTTTATTTTAGTTTTTTCTTTTGAACTCAGGCTAAATCTAAACGAAATAAAATGCCTTTATGTTTTATTTATAGTAGTCTTGGCTGCCTATGACTCATTGTTTCACAATAAATTGTTTTACAGTTAGCGTTTATTAACATAATATTCAGGTTAGTTGGGATTTCTCATGTTAATCCTTCTTTTAAATAAGTGTGTGTGTCTTGTGGTTTTTTTTCTTCTTTTGCCCATTGGCTAAGTAAATGCATTGAGAAATACAATATTGGACACCAACGTCTAAGCTTTTTCCCCACAAATGAGTGTGTAGTAAACTTTCAATTATAGAAACTGTTTTGAGCTTACAGAGAACATTTTTTTTTTAGAACACTACTAAGTTCTGTAGTTGCAGAGATGTAAGAGATGTTATTGGATATATAAAATAAGCTCATGCTTCTGAGTGTATAATAAAAGTTAAAATCTTGATCAACTCAGCCAATCAAAATGAGAATTTCTAACCAAATGAGCATTATATTCTGAAAAAAAAAAAAAACAACCCTGTTTTAAAATCTTTTGGACTGTTAAAGAGAATTACCAGCTTACATTTTGAGACAATGCAGATACATTTCCCAACATAGCTTTATCTTTTTGCATTTTTTTTCTTTTGAAATTACTAAGAATTCTTTCTAAGGTGCCTCATTTATGATAGCTTGTTAAATTTTATACAATTTAAAATATTTTTTTCTAGGGCCAGGCATGGTGACTCATGCCTGTAATCCCAGGACTTTGGGAGGCCGAGGCTGGTGGCTCTCTTGAGCCCAGGAGTTCCAGACCAGCCTGGGCAATATGGCGAAACCTCATTCCTACTAAAAGTACAAAAATTAGTAGGGCATAGTGGCACACACCTGTAGTCCCAGCTACTCAGGAGGCTGAGGTGGGAGGATCACCTGAGCCCGAGACTTAGGGGCTGCAGTGAGCCATGATCAGGCCACTGCCCTCCAGCCTGGGCAACAGAGTGAGACCCTGTTTCCAAAAATAAATAAATAAATAAAATATTTTTTCCTAGTTCCTTGCCTCCCATGAGGTTAATTTGGGCTAGTGTGCAAATGTTCTGTATTAGTCCAATGATACATTTACTGAGCATGGCCTTGCTTGCTCCTAGAAGATTTCAGTTGTACCTTAAAAGGAACAGAATGCAAATACAGCCCAGAGAACATAAATGAGATATGATGCATGCATATTAATAGACATGGTTTATATTAAAAGTTAAGGCTTCTGGAATGTGGTTATGGATTATAGCATATACAGTTTTAAAGTTATATCAGACAATTACCATTCAACTTGTAAGACTTTTACATGTAAAAACAAAATGGGTTGCCTGAAAATTTTCCTTGCAACTTGGCAAAGGGTATTTACATTTTTCCTTAGGTTGTGTAATCATAGTATCTTTTTTAAATTTTTTCTTTTTGAGACAGAGTCTGGCTCTGTCATCGCCCGGGCTGGAATGCAGTGGCACGATCTCAGCTCACTGTAACCTCCGCCTCCTGGGTTCAAGCGATTCTCCAGCCTCAGCCTCCCAAGTAGCTGGAATTACGGGTGCACACCACCACACCTGGCTAATTTTTGTATATTTTTAGTAGAGACAGGGTTTCACCACATTGGCCAGGCTAGTCTTGAACTCCTGATCTCAGGTGATCCGCCTGCCTCAGCCTCCCAAAGTACTGGGATTATAGGCGTGAGCCACCGCTCCCAGCCCAGAGTATCTTTATTGAAGGGCACCCCTTGGGTTTTGGGGTTTGAGTTGTGTAATTGGGTCAGTCTTAGGGGACTGAAGCTGGGAGAAATTGTCTCAATTAGAAGGAATGTCTGGGGACTAAGCATTGTCATAGCAACTGACATACTGTAGTCAACAGTGTAAGAAGCTCATTTTCTATTGCTGCTGACTTTGAAAAAGAAAAAAAGTTTACAATTCTTACACTGATGTGATGAGAAATATTTTTGGATTGTAAGACTTGTGTTTAAATTATTTCAGAAGGGATGTTTTTATCCTTATCTGTATGCTGCCACCCATAGATAGGCAAATTATTCAGTATATATGTACTCAAACACCAAGTAAGACTCAAAATTATAAGATTTATCCCTGCCCTGCAAGAGTTTACTGGCTTTCTGGAGTTAAAACAGGAAACATTTAAGTACACATGAGGTGAGGAAGAGTGATACGGAAAAGTAGTTTTCATCTTCCAGTTATTCATGCCCATACTCTTCCTCCTAGATAATAGAAATGAGGATTAACTCTCTAAACAATTATGGCTTAAGTATGAAAATTGCGATTTGAGTAAGGACAGCACATGTTGTGTCTGTTATGTTTCTCTCATACTCAACAGAAATAATACTAAACAAAAATCTTATATCAGAAATTCAAATATCTATTGTGTAACTTTGGGTAAAGCAGCCAACTTGTGCACTTCAGGTTCCTCAGCTATATAGTAGGACAATGCTAAAGATTTCTCTACTGTTTAGTAAGGTAAAGGCCTGTCCTGAAGAAGAGGTTTAGAGAGTAATGGTCACCTCTGAGGAAAGAACTTAAACCAGAGCTTGGGCATGACAGAACTGGTTTTAACATAAGGCAGATCATAATTCCCAGAGTTGGTCATCAGTGGAAGGGGTGGCTTTGTTGAGGACCTGATCTCCATGTTTGTCAAAACTGTTGGACAGTTAGGGTGGTAATCTGCTAGAAAGAAGTGTCTGCACTAAGTAGGAGGAGGCTAGATACTGTTTTTAGCCTTCTTTTAAGTATGAAAAGTATTCTAGTTACCCATTGCTGTGTACCAAACCACCCTAAAACTTAATGGTTTAAAATAATGGCAGATATTTTGTTCACAACTCTTTAATTTGCGTAAGGTTAAGCAGGGTTGACTCTGCTCAATGTGGCATCAACCGTGACAACTTTCAAGATGGCTTGACCACATAGCTGGCTGGCAAGTTGATGCTGGCTTTGGGCTGGGAGCTCAGCTGGGGGCTCTCCACGTATCCCTGGCTTCCTCACAGCGTGATGGCAGGGTTCCAAGGGCAAGCATCCTAAGAGAGACTGGCAGAAGCTGCATGGTTTTTTCTAACTAGCTTCTTAAGTGAATTCTTAAGTCACTTAATTTGACTTAATTTGGATGTGGCAGGAGTAATGCTGAGGCAGTCACAAATGCCCACCCAGTTCCAACAGGAGGTGACCTCTTAATGGGAGGAGTGTCAAAGAATTTGCCAGTAGGTCTTAAATCCTCTACATAAAAGTTGTTTAAAGGATATAACTAGTTCTTTATTAATTTTAAAAATAGCTTTTTAGAGATATAATTCATATGCCATACAATTCACCCATTTAAAGTATATAATTCATTCTGTCTAACTGTATATATATTGAGATGGAGTCTCGCTCTGTTGCCCAGGCTAGAATGCAGTAGTATGATCTCTGCTCACTGCAACCTCCCCCTCCTGGGTTCAAGAGGCTCCTGCCTCAGCCTCCTAAGTAGCTGGGATTACAGGCGCCCGCCACCACACACAGCTAGTTTTTGTATTTTTTAGTAGAGATGAGCTTTCACCATGTTGGCCAGGCTGGTCTCGAACTCCTGGCTGCAGGCAATCTGCCCGCCTCGACCTCCCAAAGTGCTGGGATTA